TTTTTTTTTTTTTTTTTTTTAAAGAAGTTGCAAACTCTTCGCCGTGCAAAAAAAAGATTTGCTCCTGGGAAGTGCAACGATAGACTTGATTCTTTTTCCCCTCGCAAGTGCAATTGGAAAAAAAATCTGGATTTGAATTTAACCTTGTAACGCTTTGTACGGAGGTGTTACATGGACGCGCAGAGCAGGAATAATTTCAGGAAAGTTAAAAACAAACTTTCCCGAACGATTAAAGGTACCTGGCAGAGGCTGTTTTGGAAAACGACAACAACGTCCTAGAGAAGAAAAGTGACTGCATCTTCTCCATCTTAGGGACATAAAATAATAAAAGTGGCCCTTGACAGTAAATGTTTATAGCTGCTGACCTTTACCAACGCCTAATCGCAAACCGATTCGTTTTTATCTTTTTCTCATTTGCCCCGAGAACGCGAAACTTTGTCATCTTAACGTCTAATTACGGTTTCACCGGGAGAGGGGGGGGAAATGCTATCCGCCATCAGATTACACCAAGATTTCGAGATTAAAAACCGACTTGCAGATTAGGCCCGGCCTATTAGGACACGGCGAATTGCATTCCCTTCCTCGCTCGGGAGCTGGCCGTGTCCCGCCGGCCCGGGTGCGGGTCCCCAGGTCCCTGCAGGGGAGCACCGAATTCGGCTTACGGCAAGAGAAGGCGATTTTGCGATGGTGTTGCTTCGGGGTGCGGGTCCGCCGGACCTCGCCTGGGGTTGCCGGGCGGGTTGCTGGAGGCGTTAGAGAGTTGCTGAGCAGAACCACAGCTCCCTTGCCCCACACCTCCTCTTACCTTGCTGAAGCACTCGGCTACCCTCGCCCTCTATTGTAAAACGCTTTCGGCTGTGTTTGGGGTTTGGTTTGGTTTGGTTTCGTGTTTTTGTTTGGCTGGGGTTTTTTTCCCCCCCTCTCTCCTTTTTTATTTCCCCCCTTTCTTTTAAATCCACTCATTGTCATTTCTGAGGTCCGTGCTGGCAGAGCTGAGGGCTGGAAGTTTAATGGTGGCTTTCTGGATGGCTTCTTTAACCCCGTAGGCCCCACGTTTATGAGTTGTGCGTGAAATATGTCAGGAAATTGTGTCCCTCTCTCCTTTATTTCCCCCCTTTCTTTTAAATCCACTCATTGTCATTTCTGAGGTCCGTGCTGGCAGAGCTGAGGGCTGGAAGTTTAATGGTGGCTTTCTGGATGGCTTCTTTAACCCCGTAGGCCCCACGTTTATGAGTTGTGCGTGAAATATGTCAGGAAATTGTGTCTGAAGAAGTGGGTTTCCCGTTCGGTGTGTGTCTATGCAGACGTGTTTGGTGTATTAAAGGGATGGCTTCACGTTCAGTTCAGCTGGAGGAGATATCGCCACGTCTCCATTGAAGTACAGTGTAGCTTGCTCTGCTGCTAATCAGGTAGCTCTCCAAAGAGCAGTAAATATTTACCAGTTAAAGTCTTCATGCTGCGAGAAAGTACTTGTTTGATGTTTATTTTTATGGATTTAAGATTACTAAAAGCTACTTAATAAATTATACCATGGCTAGTCCTGAATGGGGAAACGTGCCTCTTTGAATTCTCCGTCATATGCAGGAAGAGTAAAATTAATATTCATTATAGGCGCAAAAGAAAGGGAATGAGTATTTTTAGGCGAAAAAAAAGGGAGAGAAAATGAAGGCTGCGACTATTTCATTATTTTACCTCCTTTTTTTTAGCAACCCCCTTGAATGGGCTCTTTATTGTAATTTTCCCTCCCCAATTGAGCACCCCACTGAGCTGTTGT